TCTCCTAATTAATGATGGATACAAACTTTCACAAGTAAAGAAAATATTTGACGCAAAGAACAACAACGTAACAATGAAAATACAAACGACAATAACAACAATATAAAAAACATCATAATTTATTATAAAAATAGTATGCCCTCATCATAAAAAACAGATGAAAAAATAATGAAAAAGATAATAAACAACAATGTTAAAGTCATAGATACAAACAGCTCATTAAAATTAATAATCTACTACACGAACAGGAAAGCATCATCTCTAATAATAAAAAACAATTCCAACACTAAACCTTCCTCGAATATGAAAAGTAGTCATTTGATTTATTCATTCACATGTAAAATTGGTGAGTGCGTGCATCAAAATTCTGAATACATCGGAATGACTGAAACAACATTAACGAGACGACTCATCATGCATAAGCAACATGGAGCAATAAAAGACCACCTAATGGAACAACACAACACTATTATAACAAGGGAAATTTGAGACAATAACACCAAAGCCCTTTATAACAACAGAGAATACTTCAAATTGAAGACAGCAGAATAAATTTTCATCGATAAACGTAAACCAGCAATAAATATTCAACTAAATAATACCAATATTCATCCAACAAAGAAACACATGATTAACTTTAATTCTAATTAAGTTACAAAGTCGCTGTAAAAACAAAGACACAAAGAAGGAACAATACTATATAACTAAACTGATGATGGCAGTTGGTGCCGAAGAGCTTTTCTGTAGTAATAACTTTATTAATAATGTTTTGTCAAAAATGTTAAATATTAAAAGTTCTTTATTTAACCTTAATAATAAACTTCATCAAGATGATAAAAGTCTCGTTAGAAAAATTGAAAAACTCAACCACAAGTTGAATAATGCCAAAAACGCAGTGATTTTTATAAATAATTGTATTTATGACAGTGTAAACCCTATATATATATATATATATATATATATATATATATATATATATATATATATATATATATATATATATATATATATATATATATATAAGATTATATATATATATATATATTGAAAAAACAATATTGTATTAATTGTTGGCCTTAACCTATTTAAAGTT